TTTTTGTTGGTTTTTTTTTTTGCCTTTGAGCTCCCAAATACAATCCTCTTCAACCCAAGGCTAGGCTCAGACTGCTCCGCTACCCCTTCCTCCCTTTCCTTCTCTACACCGCCTCATAATAATTGATATTCATGACTATTAATATTACACGACTACTTTAAAGGGAGAATGCAGGACCAAATGGAGCGTGAAGCTGGCAGCCAGCTCGAGAGCTCCCCTACTATTGTAAATGACGTTCATTCAGTGGAGAATTACTAGATGTAATCAGACGAGGGGGGCTGGCAGAGGCAGAGTTTGGGGAGAGGGAGAGGGGGGAAAAAGTTTAGCAAGGAAGAGGCAGAACTTCAATTAACTCGAGCGGAGGAAGATGCGGAAAGTAGACACTGCTGAGCTGGAGCAAGGGAGAGAGATGAAGCAATGCTTGAGGCGAAGAAGAAGAAGAAGCAGAAGAAGCAGAGGAAGAAGAAGAGAAAAGTGTATTTCCCTTTTGTTTTAATATCTACTTAATTATACATTCCTAATACGAGGAATTGATTGCCTTTGGTGCTTTTGTTCTTGCAGTTTGTTTTTAAGCAAATAATGAAGAAAAAAGAGGCTTTTCTCTTATTTTTTTTTTTTTTTTATAATTTTTAAAGGAATGGAAGAAGAAACGTGCAGTCACTGTAATATATGTCTATTTACAGCGAAGATTAAGCCCTTCTGGTGCTTGTTACAGATCATATTTATTCGCAACAGTCAAATAAATACTTGAATCTGCATTGTTGGGCTCCACTTTTTTTTAAATCCTCTTTCTGTCTCCCGATATGAAAAAAAAATACATATATACGTACATAGATCTCCCGATTTCCACACAAATGTGAAATGCATCGAGTGAATTTTAAAGGATAGTAAATTTATAGTTTTGAGGCAAAGCCAGAGGCGATATAAAACCTTTTTGATGTTGCAGGAACCCGTTCAACTGGACTGTCTGCCATTTCTGTTAAAGTTCAACTTACGTTCCTTCCTAAATAGACTCACACTTCCCAGAGCTTCCCCCCCGCACGCACACACGCACACACACACACACACTTTTGTTTTAAGAACAGATTCAGTTTAAGTGGCTGAGACGCCTCTACCATCGTGCTGTTAATTATAAATCTGAAAGAAGAGAAATGTTTTTTAAAGTAAAACTAGAGGGTTTCAGCTCTTACCAAAAAAAAAAAAAAAAAAAAAAAAAAAAAAAAAAAAAAAAAAAAAGACAATTGCTTTTTTTTTTTTTTCCAAGCTACACGTTACCAAATGCCCTGGAGCGCATCCCCAAGTTAGGATACACCCTGCCCGCAGCCAAATCCCACCCAACCGCTCCCCCAGCTCTTCTGTCCCCCGGCAATCCACACACGCGGCTGTCCGTAGATCCCCAGCGCCTTAAAGCCCCCATCAAAAGCCGGGTGGATAAAAAAGCCCTCATGCCCGACCTCGGCAGCCAGGGAGGGGAGATGTTTTGTCGCCTGCTGCTGCGGGCACAGACAATGGCCGGGCTGTGCCGGGAGATGGGGAGGGAAAAGCAGCGAGGGCTTAGCGGGCTGGGGACACACACACACACATTCACACACATACACACACATACACACACGTGTGTGCTCGTTCTCTGCTCCTTCTGCACATGCTGGCTTGTGCCCATGATAATTAGCTTTTGGGAGTGGAGACATTTCTCCCGTGCTGCCGGCGGGTCCCCTCCCCGCTTCCCTCCATCCCGTCCTTTCTCCGGCCGGAGCTGTACCTTCCCCCGGTCTCTTTCTGCGCTTTTCCCGGGAGTTTCCCCTCTGTAAGTGCCAAGGCGCTCCCGGAGGGCAGGGCTGCTGGCGGGGCTGGGGACGGGGCGGCCCCGACGGCGCTTCCCCGGGGGGCTCCGGCCGCTTCCCGATCCCCAGCCCTGCCCGTCCCCTTCCCAGCGCAGTCCGCTGCCCCATCCCCGCTCCCTGCCCTGCAGCCAGCCCCTCGCTCGGTGTCCCCTCTCTCCTTGGTACCCAGCCCCTGCCCAGCCCCTGCCCGGTCCTTGGCCGGTTCCCAGTCCCGGTTCCTGTCCTGTTCCCACTCCCGGCTCCTGTCCGGTTCCCAGTCCTGGCTCCTGTCCGGTTCCCAGTCCCAGTTCCTGTCCTATTCCCACTCCCGGCTCCTGTCCGGTTCCCTGTCCCGACTCCTGTCCGGTTCCCACTCCCGGCCCTGTCTCCGGTCCCTGCTCAGTTCCCAGTCCCTTCCCGGCCTCTGTTCAGTCCCCGGTCCCTTCCCTGTCGCTGGTCCCTGCTCTATCCCCAGCCTCTGCCAGGTCCCTGACCAGCCCCTGCTCGGTCCCCTGTCCCTGCTCAGCGCTCCGTCCATCCCGGCCCTTGTCCTGTCCCCGGTCCCCTCCTTGTCCCCGGTCCCTTCCCGGTCCCGATCCCTGCCCGGCCGCCTCCCCACGGAGCAGCTCCGGCTCTGGAGGTGGCGAATTGCGCCCTTCTGAAAATCTCCCCCCATGATCGCCGCGCAAACGCCTCCCACTCAATTAAAAAAAATAAAAAGAGTAGAAAAAAATTAAAATAAGATTTTGTGGAGCGCCATTCCTCACTTATCTTTTCCGTTTTTTCTTTCTTTTTTCCCCCCCGCCTTGTTTCTGAGAAAATCCAGCACGCTGGTTTAACTTACAAGGAATACATTCGCGGAGCCCGTTTGGGAAAGATCCGGCTCAGGAAACCGTGCAAAATTAAAAAATGTTTCGCAGTGTTTGAGCTGTGATTTTTTTTTTTTTTCTCCCCCCTTGGTTTGCTTTTTGACCTCGCAAATAAGGTCTGGATAAAGCTCCCAACTTTCCGTGTCCGCGGACTGTGCGGAGCTGCCTTTGACTGTGTCGGTTCGGGTGTGTGAACTCACACACGCACAACAATGTATGTGCCGCTTAATTAATGCCAGTATATGTACACATGCACATCTTATCTGTTGGTGCAGAGGTATTAAAAAGTCGTAAAAAACGTATCCGATTGTGAAAACAAGAAAAAACAAACAAATAAAAAAAATTCCATATTCAGGTTGAGCTGAGCTTGGAATTGCAAAATAAAAAATAAAAGAAAGAAATGCATCCAGTCTCTGAATATTGGATTGTGTTTCTTTTCTATTTTTTCTCTCTTTTAAAAATTTTCCTCAACATTTGTCCATATTTAATCGAATTATTTATAATTGAAGGACTAAACAATCAAACTCTTGCCTTTAAGTTGCCTCATTCCAATCCCCAGATCATTTCTTTGATGTTTTAAATCGCATCAAACAGCTTTTCCATGAAAAAAAAAAATAAAAAGTTTAGGACTTGGCATGCTGAATACAAATATGCAAATAAATAAGCATTTAAGCATTTACTCTCAGTTTCCCATCTCTATATTCGTGTGTGCTGGTGTATGTCTCTATTTCTGCCTGGATGTATATGTAAAGCTATATATGTATTATATAGCCATGCCTGTTTCTATATGCTAGATGTATATTTAAATATACATATACTCCCTTACTCATATGCATATAATATACTCACCTCATAGATATCTTCATACTTGACATTTTCAACCAGTTTCCAGAGCATGATGGCAGGCTGTTCTCTAGGAGGTGAGTGCATTCATGTGAAGAGCAGATGTCTGGATTCTCAGTACTTCTCTGTCTGTAATGATCCATCTATAATTGGAAATGGGGGACAGACACCAAATCCGACGTTCCTCTTCCATCGCAACTTATATCTGTTGTCTGAAACAATAGGCTGCAGAAGCCTACCTCAATCGGATAGTAAAAAACATTATCTGTTACATAGTTACATATAGCTACAGACATATATGTGACTAGATATAGACATATACACACATATAGACACTTATATGCAGGCATGTAGAATATATACATACACACAGCTGCACGCTCACAGATTTACACATACAGGCACCTATACACACATATATCTGTGAACAGGCAACTTTTTCCCATGTATAGACTGATTAGTTGCCACATTTAGATATGTAAATTATATCTATTCTTCCACATGTAGGCACATGGAGACTGCATGTTACATGTGCATGCAAACCTGGTCAGTTTATATAGGAGTGTATTTAAATGATTATTGGTGATTCTAGTTATACATTTATACATATATCTGTTGGTATAGAGGGATTAAATACACGCATTATGCAGTGCATATATCTGCTATTTTAGTAGATAGTTGGATGGATGCATGGATAAATAGATAGATAGATAGATAGATAGATAGATAGATAGATAGATAGATAGATAGATGGATGAAATTTAATTAATATTTTTTCGATGGTCCCTATGATAAAATAAAGGATAAGTTGCCTCTGCACTAAGTGATGCATCATTTAAAACGAGATATGATGCTTTTCCCCACATGCAATATGCTTTTATTTACATGTCCAGAAATTATCCTCTCATATGCAGTTAAACACCAAAACAGCGTCTCATCAAAGCACATCCAAGCAAATCTAAAAGGAGTAAATTTAGATCAATGATTTCCAGTGGAAAGCCTTAGACTTCAAGCTTAGACTATATATTTTATAACTTAGAAATACTTTATATGGGGTAAAAATAAAGGGGAAAAAAACAGTTAAGCAAACCCTTCTGTGCACACATTTGAATAGTGTTTAGTACTTTCAGAAAACGATTAAAAATAGAGTTGGACTTGTGCATTTCCTGGGTAGCCCTCGGTTTGGAAGGGGAGAGGAGGAGTTAGACCAGTTTTAACCTTTATTTCCCCCCCCCCCCAGGCAAACCTTCCTTCGCATTGTCCGATTTTTTTAACACGTTGCACGGCAAAGAGCCGACACAGGCAGCAGAGCCCATCTCTGCCTTTGAAAGGAAACAATCGAGCTTTGCAGTGGGCTGCTGCATCAGGAGGGGAAAAAATGGGGAAAAAATGAGGCACAGAGGCAGAGAGGCAGAGAGAAAGAAGGTGTTTCTAAATTCAAGGTCCTGTCTCTGGAAATTTCAAGCTCTGCCTATAAGGTTCCTACAAATCTTTGTTATTCTGCACGGGATCCTATGGGAAAGTGCACAGTGTCCTTTGTACTTTCAAAGGTCCTACAGGTAAAGATGCTTTTATATATATAATCTCGGAAACGAGGAGAACTTCATCAGGAGACACATTTGCTGGTGTGTGGTTGGCTGGTGGGAAGGGTGGGCTTTGCTTTTTCTGTTCGCTTTGGCCTCAAATTAAGGCAGAAAATATAAATTCATGCCTTTCTCCCTCAGCCTCCGCACCACCCTGCCACCCCTCCCCATTTCACAGTGTGCATCTTCTAAAACCTCAACCCACAAAAGGCAAGAGGCAAATAGTGGCCAGATATTGCAGCAGCAGCTGGACAACGGTTTGCTAGAAGTTATTAAAGCAGATACGAGGTTTTTTTTTGTTTTTTCTCAGCATAGCCAGTATCGCACTGAGGAGGAGCAGAAAAAGGACACATCTTTGAGTGGATTGGACTGATCATTTCAACTGAGGCAATAGGGTAAAAAAACGCTGAAAAAGGAGAAAGGATGTGAGCTGTTTGCACGGGGATGTGCGCAGATACCCATGCAGCCACCCTTACGCACCTATAGATCTGAATGACCCTCTTAGAAAAATACCAAGCTCATAAAGGGACAGTTTGCCATCACTTTTGTGAAAGTCTTTGAGTCATGAAGGCTGGCACAGGGCAGAGTGAATGAGCTTCGTGGCTGCTAATGCTTCACAATTCCGTGGCACCCTGAATTAAATACGCTCTGCGAGCTGGGGGAGGGGAGAGGAGGGGAGAGAAAAAAAAGAAGACTCTAAAATAGACTTGACGATCACTGGCTCCTTGATAACATATTGGTATTGGTAGTAAATTCTTTTAAACCCCACTCTTATTACATTTCTCTTGCATTTGCAAAACACGACAAACGAACAAGTGTTCATTTGGAAAAGTAAGGTTCTTCGCATTTTATTTTTGCGCTCGCTTTGCACCCCCACCCCCACAGCTGAATATAGTTTAATTCAGCAATTCCACGCAGCAACACTTGCACCGATTTATCCCTCAAACATCCAATGAACCCTGCGTCCAAAGGGCAACACACGTACCCAAAACTGACCGCTACAACCCACACTTTCAAAAC